TTTCCCTTTGTGTTCGTCATTTTGGTTAATTACTGGAAGATGGCGGTTCCGGCCAAAAGGAAGGCCTATGTTGCATTTTTAAAAATTTAAAATAGCCTCTTTAAAAATATCTTAAATATCTCATATAGTGTTTTATACATAAATATAATGTTGTGATGTTCATACGTAATTTAAATTTTTTTAAAAAGAATTATTTATTTAATTTTATTGGGACCAGCAGTTAGCATAATGACTATGTCACTGAACTCCCATGTAGTTGACTATGGTTTGAGTCCCGGACCTGGTGACTTGAACTCACACTGGGTGCATGTGCATGCATGCCCAAGATGCCAAGAGGAGAATGGAGGAGAAGGGATTGCGGCATGACCATCCCCCCTGGGGGGTGATTTCTCGCTTTCTGTCTTTCTGTCTCTGTTTTTCTGGTGAGCGCACATGCCCTATAGCAAAAAAAAAAAACAAAAAAACAAAAAAACAAACAAACAAAAAAACCAACCAAAAACCTCTCCAACAACAACAAAAAGAATTATTTATTTAATTTTATTTATTCTTTCATTTATTTTAATTTGACCAGAGAGAGACAGAGAGAGAGAGAAAAAGTGAGATAGCGAGTCACCAGGTCTGGGACTTGAACCATAGTCAGCCATGTGGGAGTGTCTAGTGCCTTAACCACCATGCCACCTTCTGGCCCCATTCATATGTAATTTTCAGCAAATATCTTATATTGGATGTCAACTGTGTAAAACATTGTTGAAAAGAAGTACTGTAATTGACAGGCTTCTTTCCGTCCTTGAGGAGTTTACAGTAGAGAGATGGAGCAAAGTACATAAAAGAGTGCCCAAACTAGACCTCATAAAAGAGGTAATCTAAAGCATAGGCAGAGAGCTGTAAGGAACAAACACAATGTGGCCAACACCTTCACAACATCTATAAATTCCAGTGTATGTTTATGTGCTGTTATTTAAGCAGGTCTAAGGAGGGAAAAGAGAGTCACCCTCTATAGCTGCCAGATTTCCAAAGTACAGTTTTTGTCTCTAAGGATCCTGTTTCATTCAGTAACTTTCCTTCTTATTAAAGTGAGCTTTTCAGGACCTGGGACAGTGTGGGGAGGGGCAAAACACCATCCCCTTCTCATTGCAAGACCACTGAGAGCCACAGTCTGCCATCAGTCCCACCACTCCCTCTCTGGGAAAACTGTTCAAGATCCAGAAGCTTAAAATAGGGGCCATTCAGACCAGCAGATGGTGTAATGGTTATGTTGCTGGACTCCCACGTAGTCGACCACAGTTCGAATCCCAGACCTGATGACTTAAACTCACGCCAGGCATGTGTGCATGTGTGCCCAAGATCCTAAGAGGAGAATGGGGGTTGATTTCTCACTTTTTGTCTCTCCAGGGAGCACATGCACCCTATCGCAAAAAAACTCTCTTAAAAAAATAAATAGGGGCCATCAATTAAAGCTTCCATATACTTAGAGTTTTTTTTGTCATATTCCAAGTGAGAGAAAACAACCCCACCAGTCACCCAGGAAGCCTTTCGCCATGCCAGTTAACAAGATTTTTAGGGCATCAAACTACTGTTACTTTCTTTCTATAAAAGTTAGTCACAAGGGTTAATATTCCTTCCTTTCTGAAGCATCTTGTAATTAATATCATGCATCTTTGGAATTTCTGGATAGGATATATGCCTGTGGTTTAGAATGGTTTGTGGAAGGCTATCTGGCTCCTTTAGGGACTGAGTGTGGATTATGGCGTGAATACCATGCCAAGTGAACTGACTCGATAGTTCAATTGCCTTGATGTCCATAGAACCATCTGTTGATTGACATCTATTGATTGCTGGATAGAACTACCCAAATAACTAAATAGCAAGGTACTAGCTCAGGGATACTATGTGGTCCTGTATACATTAGGTGCCGTGAGCCCAGCAGGTAGTGTGGTGGTTAAGATGCTGGACTCCCACACAGCTGACCATGGTTCAAATCCTGGAACTGGAGGCTTGCTTCTCCACTGTCTCTGGCGAGCGCACATACGTGGTCACAAATTTAAAAATACAAATAATAATAAATAAAATTAAATGAAGAATAGAAAAATAAATTAGGTGCTATAATATGTTGCAAAAAGCTTGAAGCAAAATTTGAAAACCATGGAAGAAAGATTAATATTGCTATAGCTATTCTAAAATTAAATACATTATGACAGGCAGATTCTTAAACACGATAATTGTCTTAGTTCCATATTTTAGTGACAGCTTAACCCATAAGTATTAAAAATATACACTTAAGAGGTATCTTTATGTTAAAATATCAAACTCTAAATGTCTTTACATTTTAACACAAATATGACAAGATGAGTGCCTTGTCATCTGAATGTTAAGTTTTATTCATACCAGTTAAATAATTTAGGTATTATCTAAATAAAGGGGGTGCTCTGTCCAAATGCCTTATTAGAAGATTCTATGACAGAAGATTCAAATCCATGCATATAATTGATACTCCTAGCTTCAATTATCAAGGATTAGGAATCACATGTGTACCACTTCATCCTACTAGGATGACTATCATTTTATAAAGGTCAAGTATCAAGTCTGAGCAAGGATGTGGGAAAACGGAAACCTTTATCCACTGCTGATGGGAATGTAATATTGTGAAAATACTGGGTTGTCGGAATGTGTCATGACTTTTCCAGTGACCCAATAGAAAAGTTTGATGGTTTCTCAAAACATTCAATATAGAATTACCATTTGAGCCAGTAATTCTACTCTTAGACATATACCTAAAATAACAGAAAACAAGGACTCATACAGACACTTGCATATAAATGTTTATAATAACATTAGTCACAATAGTCAAAATGTAGAAACAACCTAAGTGTCCATCAACAAATGAGTGAATTTTCAAAATGTAGTATATGCATATAATGGAATATAATTTAGTAGTGAAAAGGAATGCAGGACTGGCTCCCTAGCATAGGTAATGTGCTGCTCAAGAGATGGAGCCCACATGGCAATTGCGATTTGATTCCCTGGCCTGGTTGACCTGAACTGTATGGGGCATGTATGTGAGTGTGCAAGATCCAGTGGGCTGCAGGACTGGAGGAGGGGATCATGGTGTGACCAGAGCCTGTGGAGGGTGCTCATTTCTCTCTCATTCTCTCTTTCTCCCTTTTACTGTCACATTTATGTCCGCATGTATCATGAATCAGAGAAAAAAACAGTATAACAAAAAAGAATGCAGTTTTGAAGATACAACATAGATGAATCTTGAAAACATTATGCTAAGTGAAATAAGACAGTCATAAGATCAATATTGGATAAGTTCACTTATATAGAATGTCTAGAACAGGAAAATTTAAAGAGATGGAAAGTAGATTGGAGATCACTAGGGCCTGGGAGAATGGGGAATGGGGTGTTATTATTTAATGCATACAGAGTTTCTTCTTAGAGTGAAGAAAAGTTTAGGAAATAGTCATGATAGTTGCATAACGATGTGAATATAATTATCGCTACTAAAATATACACTAAAAATGGTGAAAATGTCAAATTTTATGTTATATAACTTTTTTTGACCACGATGAAAACAGTTTTAACAAAACACATTTACAACATAATCTATTGCTTGTTTACTTGCAGCTCTTTTATTATAATACTCATAGATCTATCTATAGTATAGCCCAGATGTCTCTCCAGTACAGAGACTATAGGATATAAAAGCAGAGGGTATATTTCTAGTGGTACAACTGACAAATTACGTTCCTTATGGATTCAGAATTTAAATTTAGTTTCCTGAATTCAGGTTTTGTGTCCTTTCTGAAGAAGAATCCTCACTAAACGTTGACTCAAACAGAGCAAGAATGGACTTCTTGAAAACCTTTTTGAAGTTCTCTCCAATAAATAGGTAGAGTGTGGGAGAAAAGACAGTATTGAAAGAAGTGGTTAGCGCTGTAAGTACCAGAATCAGTTCTGAAAGTAATGACTGGTTCTTGGTGAGAATTAAGCTCTGGTGTACATGGTAGGGCATCCAACACACGAAGAAAGAGATAATGGCAGTCATCATGACTTTGAAGGGCTTGCTGGATTTACACAGGCCTCGTTCTTTCATCTTGCTGGCTACACTTTTGTAACAAAAGATGATGATGAAGAAAGGCAGAAGGAAGCCCAGCAAGAAGCGACTGGTGAAACAGGCTATATGAATCCATTGCCTTAATGTTTGCATCTCTTTGCTTTCCCAGTTGGTAGACACAGCATAGTTATTTCGGCAGGTCACTGTTCCTTTATGGTCACGATGTGTCTCCCTGAAAACCAAATAGGGCAGGCTGAGAGCAGTCGCAGATATCCAGACTCCCAGGATAATGCTGCAAGCCCAGCGTGGGGTGCGGTGCTGCTGGGACCACACTGGGTAAAGGGTGAGAAGATAACGATCAAGACTAATGCCCGAGAGGAAAAAAACAGAAGAGAACATTCCCACAGACAAAGTGGCATTGAAGACCTTGCACAGTGCAGTTCCAAAGGTCCACTGATTGTCTTGAAGAAAGGAGGTGGCCATAAATGGCAGAATCAATGTTGAAATAAAATATGAGAGAATGAGATGAAAAAATAAGAGAGTATTGACAGTCTTTTTCATCTTGAATTTTAGCACCCACAAATAGAGGCCATTGGCGATTGTACCGATGCTACATGAAATGAACAAAGAGAGGGCAACAATCATTTTTGAGGCAGGAGCTACAAGGTAAGTGTTTCTTACTAAAGTAGACACATTGATCAGGTGATTGGTAGAGTTGATCAGATCCATAATTACCTGTGGAAAGAAAAAACCATGAAAATAACAACAACAACAAAAAAAAGCAAAAGAAAAGGTTAAATGTAAATAATAATGTGTGCTTATTAATAGTTTAAGATAGTATAATAGTGACAAACATCCTATGTCTACAATATACAAATAAAATATTTTCTAAGGGCTATGCTTTTGTGTTGTATGAGGAATTAAGATCAAATAAGTCTGAGCACCAAAGCCAGGAATAATAAAGATGAAAGGAAATGAATGTGTGCAAGAGAGAGAGAGAAAGAGAGAGAGAGATTGGGAGGTTTTGACAATTGCTAAATAATTAGCTGAAAATCTTCCCTTTGGACATTAAGCAGAAGTCTGACCCTTGTCAATGGGCACAACTTCTTGAATAAGGTAATTTGACAAGATTTGATCAGGGCAAATTTTGCTAATGGTATAAATTGGAATACAAAAATAACAACTGTTGTGTTGTAAAAGAAGTTACTGGTTTTGTAGATTAGTAAATTCACACAGGTAACAAAGCTATTGCCACTTTTCATTTCATTCAGCTCATGAGAAAAAGAAGGAATAAGAAGGAAAAAGGGTGTAAAAAAATTAGGGAAACTTTTTCAAGAAGTGACGTCTCATTGAATACTGACAACAAAGCAAATCTTTGCATTAAAAAACTAAAAAAAAAGCTGTTGTAAATTAGCAATCATGGGATACTTTAATTAGATTTCTTTCATGAGCTAACTATATATTAAATACATTATCTAGTATTTTAATACTCAGCACATAACAGTAAGAACTAATTTTTTTTTGGTAGAGAGATTTTTGCTATAAGGTGCGTGCACTCGCTATGAGAGAGACAAAGAGAAAGAAAGAGAGAAATCAACTCCTGGGGGGATGGCCATGCTCCAATCCCTTCTCCTTCAGTCTCCTCTCAGGATTTTGGGCATGCATACACACATGCCTGGCAGGAGTTTCAAGCTTTTCCTGGGACTCGAACCATGGTCAGCCATGTGGGAGTCCAGCAACGTAACCACTACAACATCTGCTGACCTCAGCACTTACTTTTTAATTTTTTTAAAACTAAACAAAAACATTCTAGGGAACCAGCAGTTAGCGTAATGGCTATGTCGCTGGACTCCCACGTAGTCGACTGCGGTTTGTGTCCCGGACCCGGTGGCTTAAAACTCACGCCGGGCGCGTGTGCGTGCGTGCCCAAGATCCCGAGAGGAGAATGGAGGAGAAGGGATTGCGGCGTGACCATCCCCCCTGGGGGGTGATTTCTCGCTTTCTGTCTCTATGTCTCTCTCTGTCTGTCTGGCGAGCGCACGCGCCCTACAGTGAAAATCTCTCAAAAAAAAAAAAAAAACATTCTAAGAATATACAGAAAGAAGAAATAATTGTTGTTTAAAATCACAATTGTCATAAATTAATTCTGCCTTCTAAGTGAGTTGCAAAGTTTTGCTCTAAAATAGAAAAATGGTTCTCTTTCAGGAAAATATCTTTGTAATCTACTTTGGTCACATAAAGTGGAATCTGAAGGGTATGGAATGGATAGTCAATGGTGAGAGAAAGAGTGAGGCCTTGAGAAAGAGGCTGTGTGGAAGTCCTGGGACCTTGAGAAGAAGAAGGAGTGTGAGTGGTTTTAAGAGAGGGCATACAGGAAAACCCCTGTGGGAGATTAGCTGTCCTGAGGAGGAGAAAACAGAGGAGATATTCTGAGAAGCAGAAATGACATAGGGGATTTAAACAATGGCACATCTAATACTCAGTTTTAGTCTATGTGCTGTGCTTCGATGTGGGGGAATGTCCCCTCTCTCCATTAATCTATAATATAATTGTCTTGTATTGATGGTGGTTCTGCATAATCAAAGAAAAAGAGCTTGTGTTCTGTATTTGAGATGAAATAAGGTGGTCAAAGAAAACCTACAGCAGGTGGTAAGATGTGAGTGAGATGATGAGTATCTGGAAACTAGATAGATTTGGGGGCATAAATTAAAAAGCAGAAATGAAAGCCCCAAGAGAATTTCCAGTTACTGTGTGTATAGTCTGTGTACATCTGTGTTCTCTCTGTATTGATTCATTTGTGTGTATGTATGTGAGTATTCGGTCTCTGTATGTTTCTCCATGGTGTATTTTTATCCATGGGAGGTGTGTATAAAGCTGTGTGTGTGTGTGTGTGTGTGTGTTTATGTGCCTGTGGTCTGTTTATGTGTATATGTGGTTTATTTGTGTAATCTCTCTGTGTGTAGTATCTGTATGTGTGTGTCTACAGTCTTTGTGTGTTTATCTGTACAATGCATTTATGTATGGTGTTTGTGTATCTGTGCTGTGTGTGCATAGTCTCTGAATGTATATGCATATGAGAAATTGGGTACCTGAATTATAGGAAAGATTCTCTTTAAACATTTATTTATTTTTAATCTTATTTATTATCATTATTCTTCCATTTTGACCAGAGAGAGCGGCAGACAGAGAGAAAGGGAGAGTGAGAAAGCAAGTCACCAGGTCTGGGGCTAGAACTGTGGTTGGCCATGTGGGAATCCAGCACCTCAACCACCAAGCCACTTGCCAGCCCTGAAAGGCTTTTTTTTCTTTTTTTTTTTTTTTTAACTATGTGCCTGAACTTTAGAAAGTCATCTGAAAATAATGTATTGAGTAAAATTAAAGTAAATTTTTTTCTGATCAGGGCTGGCAGGTGGCGTGGTGGTTAAGGCCCTGGAGTTCCACATAACTGACCATGGTTCAAGTCCTTGACCTGATGGCTTGCTTTTTCACTTTCTCTTTCTCTGTCTCTCTCTGGTCACATTAAAAAATAATAAAATACATACATAAATAAATAAAATAAATGATTCTTAAAGTTTTTTTTCTGATCAATGTTTACAGTGGTTGTAAATATCATATAAAGTTTCCTAAAATTGATTTATTGAATATAACCAGGTTTCCTCACTTGTAAATGCCTTGTAAAATGGTTTTAAAGTATATGAGTATAAATAAATGGGCAGAGCTCAAGCTCTGGCCTCCCACAGTCTTGGGTTATCTTACATCTACCACTCCCAATTCCATGACTTTAGACTTTTAACTCTTATTTTTAAAGAGAGGCTTTTGCTATAGGGTATGTTCATTTGCCAAAGAGACAGAAAGTGATAAATCCCCCCCCGGGTGTCTGGCCATGCCACAATCCCCTCTCCTCCATTCTCCTCTTGGGATTTTTGGGCACACATGCACATGCACCTGGCATGAGTTTTTAAAATTTTTTGAGAGGTTTTTGCTATAGGGTGTGTGCGCTTGCCAGAAAGACAGAGAGAAGCAGAGAGACAGAAAGTGAGAAACCACCCCTCAAGTGAGATGGTCACGCCACAATCTCTTCTCCTCCATTCTCCTCTTGGGATCTTGGGCATGCATGCACACACGCCCGGCATGAGTTTTAACCCACCGGGTCCGGGACTCAAACAATGGTCGACTATGTGGGAGTCTAACGACATAACCATTATGCCATCCACTGGTCCCAGACTTTTCTCTCTTTAAGCCTTTCACCTTCTAACCTCCTATAAGTTTAAATGAGGACTAAGTGAGATAATGCATAAAAATAACATAGTTTCCTTCTTAGAATATAGTTTGTGCTCAATTATTCTTTACCTATTATTTTGCTCAACTTATTGTATTAATGCTAGGAAGAGTCCCATTCCGCTTTTTTAATGCTGCAGGTAACTTTTCTTCCCTCTCCAAGGCATCTGTACTGAATTCTAGAGTACCTCCAAGGATTTCTAAAAAATATAAAATCCATCTATTTGGGTAGAGCTTTCAGATTTAGAGTTACTTTAATGCTTTAAAAAAAGTTTATTTATTGATTTCTTCAATGAAGGAAGGAAACAGAGAGAAAGAGAGCAGGGGGGCACTCCCAGTAGGGTCTTCATGACCCTACCCCCAGCCTCAGCCATCCAGGATCATGGGTACGTGCATGGACCCCTGCATGCACAGGGAGACCTCAGGACCCAAATCCAGAACCTTCCCAGATGGCCTCAGCATCGTGGAGCATTGTGTTATGCTGCACCACCATGGCTGGACCTACTCTGAGGCTTTGATATAATGGTATCTTTGGCACAAATGATTTTCAGGAAGACTCCATCTCCACTTGGAGACACTGAGCTGCTGCTGGAGGGGAGGGCACAGGAACCTCAGGAAGCTGATCTGGAGTCAGCCTACAGGGTCTGTCCATATGACATGACTAGCTGACTCACTCTTACCTCAGAGCTGTATTTTCATGCAGGATGATCCTTGGCAGGCCAAGGAGACTCTACATTAGCATTCTTCCCTGGAAGGACAGAGTTCGAAGATCAGTGACACTTTGCCTTCATTTCATCTGCTTCTTCATACTGATGTTACTCTCCAACCTTTAACCCACCTTTACTGAAAATGTCTGTGAAATCTTTTTGTTCTTCCTGGTTCCTTTTTCTGTGGAATGTATTGCCACAGGGGTGGAGATAAAAAGGTGAGCACTTCTTCAAATTATTTCTCCATTTTAACAGAGGAATTAAAAAGTTCCATAAGCAAAGTCATTCTATGTAAGGTTAATAAGCTCATTTCAGGTGTTAAAACTCTGATTAAAAATTACCTTCTCATATTCAGTCATCCCACCAGGCACCCACTCTGCCTCAATTCCAGAGTGTTCATTAGCATATGGACGAATGGTGTTGGGTACATGGGGAGGTGGTAAATATCAGGCACAGACAAAAATAGAATCTGGAAATGAGCTACCTAATCTTGCTGGAGAGAAAATGTTTGAAAAGAAAAATTTAAACACTGAGTTTCACATTAAAATGGAATATATGAAGAGAAGTCAAAGATGTACATGATTTTGTTTGGAAAAATGAAGACTAGTAGGCAGCAAAACCTGCATTTGCACAGTTGCTAAGAATGGTTGGGAAAGAAAACAAAAAAAACCCAAAAAACAAAAAAACCAGAGCTGGATACTACATCCTAGAAGATGCTCTCATTACAGTATAAGAAACCCTACATCACAGGTGTTTGAGCCATTACTGACTGAGCTCTACATTTTCTATTTTCCTCTCTCAAGCCATCTCTAAAAATTTTTTGGATCCACCTCTGTACTGACCCGAGTGTCCTGATTTCTTTGCTGCTTGCTTTCCTCTTCATCTCACCACTGCCAGTGGAGAAAATACATCAAAACTGCTGCGTAGTTTCAGTGGTGAAGAGCTTGGGAATCAAAACTGTTACACAGTCTATGTTATAATTTTAAAGTGGTCACTGCTAAGACTACAGTCTTGTTAAAAATAGGCCTAAGATTTTATTAGGTGGTCGGGAAAGTCATGAAGTCTTTTTCTGTGTTTTTCTATGCAAAAACGTGTCATGACTTTCCTGACAGCCCAATAGTTCTTAATTCATTTCTGACGGTGACCTTCAACCTAAACTCTGATATTCTTTTTCAGGTTGAGTTTTCAAACTTGTTAGTTCATTTTGAAAGGAATTTCTTGCCAAGTTTTCATACCCTTTGGGTTAATTCACAGATCTGGAAGCAACCTGAAATATTATTTGGTCCAAACCCACTAATTCTGAAGATTAACAAATTGAGATCCAAAGAAGTTAAGTGGATCCCAATAGGTTTTCACCAAGAAAAGAGCCAACCAGCCAAGAGCCCTTTCCTATACTACCTCATTAGAAAAAAAGGGAATTTGGACCAGGTTCTTCCTCCTCTTACCCCATTTTATATTTCCTAATTCTACAGTTAGTGAAATTTACAACTAACATATATACTAGGGAATAGTGCTTAGTTTTTCCCCCAACACATGCGTTAGAGCAAGTACCACCACTAGGTGGCCTAAAATACAATTCTTCTATAACTCACCTCAGAAATACTCTCACTAATGAATTTTTTCCACCAGTAGGTAATTAAGCTAATGATATTCTCTTTGCTGGAAAATATACAGATTGTGTTTGAGGAAGTAACTTTTCTTCTGTGGCTTTGGTGATGTGACACCCTTTGGTTCACGTTTTGTATTTCAAAATAAGTCAGGTGATTTCAAGAAAAGAACTCGTAGAAATGGAAACCGTTTTTATGTTGTTTTGCTACAAGCACAGTATGAAATACATAGAATGCAGGAGCAGATAGTGTTGCCTAATCAAATGTTTGTAAGATTAGAAACTCAGAAATGGGTATCATTTTTAGAGTTAGAAGAGACCAAAGAGTTAATTCCATCCAACACCTAGTGTCTAAGTGAAGAAACTAAGATTCTCAGAGATATTTAAGAACTTGTCCTAGATTCTGTGATCAGTTAATAAAGAAGTTGGGTAGAAATAATATACTCAAAATATTGATGTGCTGCTTATGACACTCTGTGGATCACATAGAGCAGTACAGGAACAAAACCCTAGCTATAAATCCAAATTCTGCTCTTTACCACATGCATAACTTCTCTGAGTCACAGTTTCCTCCTGAAACATAAAACAACAACAACACATCCTCTGAAGTATCCTTGTGGGATTAAGTGAGATAGTATACATAGATAAGGGCTTAGCACAGTACCTGGCACATGGACAGTATTAGATAAATGGTAGCTAATATTAATATTAGGTAAGTGGTAGCAGAGAATACCAGCAAGCCCACTGGGCTGGAGCAAATCTCTGAGCAGTGAAACTCAAGAAACATTTATTGAATATCTATGGTATGACAGCCAGTGTTGGAGACTGGGGAACACAAAGTAAATAATTCAAAACAATTACCCTTAACATTTGTAGTTACTGAAGAAGATAGTACCTGACCTGAATACTTTAGGGATGTTGGGGAGAGCCTTGGAAACAGTGCGCTTAAAAGCATAGCCAAAGAGAACAATGTCTCAGCTCCATATCCCAGCATCAGGGGAATAACAATGCAGGCACTACTACAGTGGTTTCCAGCCTGGCTAAAGTCAGAATCACTTGGAGATCTTTAATAAACAATCTAGATAACATGTATAATATCCTCAACTGGACTAGTGTGAGGTGTATTCATGTTGGGTAAAATCACTTTACAAGCCAAGAGATATATTGTGATTGAATGTATAACATAAATAAAAAATTAATTAAAACAAAATCAAAACAAAACAATCCAGAGTGGGCCGGTCAGTGGTGTGGTGGTTAAGGCAGAGGATCCCACATGGCTGACTATATGGTTCAAATCGTGGGCCCAGAGGCTTGAAAATCATGCCAGGCACAGGTATATGCATGACCCAAATCCCAAGACAAGGATGGAGGAGAAGGGATTGTGGCATGGTTATCCCCTCTGGTGAGGAGTGCTTTCTCACTTTCTCTTTCTCTTTCTCTCCCTCTCTGTCTCTCTCTCTTTCTCAGGGAAGTGCATGGACCTTATAGCAAATAAAAATAAAAAAAAACCCTCAATATTTCTGTAATTTAATTAATTCATTCAGTATTTACCAAGTATTTACTATACTTCAAGTACTATTCTTGCCACTGGGAATACAGAGTAAATGAGAACTGTGCTCACATGAAGGTTACAGTCTAGTGGGAAGGGATGAATAATAAACCAGTAAATAAACATGTAAAGAAGAGAAACACTATTGTGCTATGCAGAGCATTGAAACATGGAAATGTGATAAGGGACTAGATGGCTACTTTAGTTGGGCCAGTCAACAAAGGCCACTCTGTGACATTTAATGAGATTGGAATGACATGAAGCAACTGACTGTGCCGTGATGAGGAGGAAGAACTTTGCTCTGGACCTAACCCGAGTCTTGCTCCATGTCTGTTTGTTCCATATTAGCCTCTTTCTACTTCCTGTCTGTCTGCTCTTGCTTTCCTAATTGCACCTGCCCCGTTATAACACTCTTCGGTTCATGAATTCAACTTCATTCTATGGTTTTTGGCTCGGGTTCTCTTCGTTGTCAAGTTCTTATTATGATAGGTAGCATTCCTTAAATAGGAATTCAGGTTTGTTCAGGGGACTATCTCCTGAGATTTGCTCCCAGCAGGTCCTGTTGGATATGACCCACCACACTGGGCCTTCCATGTCCGAACAGCACTCCCAGAACTACAGGCGGGATATACTGGAGGAGAGGCAGGAGGCAGGGCTGGAAGTTGGCCTAAGGTCTTGATTATGAAAGAACTTGGATTCAGGTTTTATCTCAAGGGAGAAAGGGTTGGGCTTAGTAAAGACCACAAGTGGAGAAAATAGATGTTTTAAAGGAGTGAAAGAGTTATAGGTTTGGATCGATTTGTTTATCCCCAAATTCAGACCCAAGGTAATTTATTGAGAGTGAACAGGAGTAGAATATAGGGAAATGAGGAAGGTTTAGAATTTCCTATGAAAATAATGAGACATATAAAAAATTAGTAGCATTATGGGTCTGTTTAAGATTAGGGACCACGTATTTGTAGGTCTCCACTTCTAGGAAGGGAGGAAAATACCTCATTATGCACATTTCAAACTCTGAGTCGCTCACTCTGTTCCATTTGCTTCCAGCCTTGTTATAGGAGTGAAGCGGATTGTCAACATAGTCAAGGTTGATGGTTTCCGAGCTAATACTACCAGGAAAGGCCGATAGCTGAGTTGAGGTTGTCAATAAGAGAGCAGTAGAGGTGACATTGCTAGGATTTAGGAGGAATAGGGATCATGCAAAGCCATGGTGAGTTTGCCAGACAGGAAGAAAGGGAGGGATTTGAGGGACTGGAGGGCCTAATGCAAGCAGAGTAGTAGTATTTCTATAAGTAGAAGTCTGGTGGTCTGGTATGGGATAATGGAATTTAAACTTCTTTTTTTTTTTTTGGAGAGGTTTTTGCCATAGGGTGTGTGCGCTCGCCAGACAGACAGAGAGAGACAGAGAGACAGAAAGCGAGAAATCACCCTCCAGGGGGATGGCCATGCCACAATCCCTTCTCCTCATTTCTCCTCTCGGGATCTTGGGCACGCATGCACATGCACCCGGCGTGAGTTTTAAGCCACCGGGTCCGGGACTCAAACTGCGGTTGACTACATGGAAGTTCAGCTACATAGCCATTACTCTAACTGCTGGTCTAAACTTCTTGAGGTGTAGCTGTTTTGAGTGATGTCAAGGACTCCAGAGTGTGGTGAAAGCAGTCATTACAATTGGAATTGTAATGAAGAAACTTGAAACCATGTATTGGGTGGTCTTTACCTTAAAAGTAGTGGGCAATCACTGAATTATTGCTATTATTTATCTTTTTTAGAGAGAGATTTTTGCTATAGGGCACGTGTGCTCGCCAGAGAGACAAAGACAGAGGGTCAGGAAGCAAGAAATCACCGCCCAGGGAGGGATGGCCATGCCGCAATCCCTTCTTCTCTCGGGATTTTGGGCAAACAAGCACATATGTCCAGTATAAGTTTTAAGCCTCTGAGTCCAGGACTTGAACCACGGTCAGCTACGTGGGAGTCCAGTAACATAAACATTACACCATCTGCTGGTCCCACACTGAAATGTTTTAATTAAGGAATAATACGATCATAGTGATCATTTTAAGATAGCCCAGCTTTTGAGGTGGGGAATGGATTAATGAAGGGTGAGAATGGAAGTGGGGAGATCATTTTTGGTTTGGGTTCCCCAAAGGCAGGCCCTAAAACAGGGATTCTAGGACAAGTAGCTTATTTGCTAAATGATCCCAGGAAACCTGGTATGAGCTGGGGGGGAAAGGCAAGAGCAAGAAAGGACAAATTATTAAACAAGCCACAGCTGTGGGTAATTAACGCTTCATTCCCAGAAAGAAAACTCTCAGAAATGGTGTAGAACATATGCTGGGTTCCCACAGCTGAGGTGTGAAGAGTTGCGCTAGCTACACATCAACCCCTGTCTGTCACTGGTTGAGAAATTCTTCCTGGGGGTGTTAATTTCTTGGTTCTTCCTTTGCCAAACACATGAGCAGAGTAGAATCCTGTGGCCAAAGAAAGCTTTGGGGTTGAGGGGGGAGTAGGTTCAAGCAGAAGGAAGTATGGCTAGCAAGTACTGAAATAGTAAAGAAAAAAGTCATAGGCAGGTATCAAAGAGGATCTGCTCCATCTGTTAGTACCGGCACGAGAGAGGTGGCTTCAGTTAGGGTAGTGATAATAAAGCTAGATGTCAAAGGATTTAAGAGGTGCACATATGCTAACTTTGGTGCACATTAATTTCATACTCTCCATTTTGTTAACTATATTTATAAGCGTTCCACATTTTAAAAAATTCTTTTTAAAAGTAATTTGTAAGTCCAAGATATCCCCCAAAGAAAAATAAGGCCTGATACTCTTATTTCTGACTCAGGATACAAATTATTAGGTTGTTGGGAAAGTCATGGCCTGTTTTTCTATGTTTTTCTATGCGAAAATGCCTCACGACTTCCCCAATGACCCCATATAGAAAGGTGAAAATCTAAGGCAATGTTGCACAATAGAAATAGAATGTGAGTCACATAAAAACTTGTAGAAGCTACATTTAAAATGTAAAGAGAGAGACCAGCATATGGTGTATCAGTAATGTCACTGGACTCCCACATAGTTGACCGTGGTTCGAGTACCAGACCTAGCAGCTTGAACTCCCGCCAGGTGCGCGTGTTCGTGTGTGTATGTGTGTGCCCCTGACATCCTAAGAGGAGAATGGAGGGAAAGGGATTGTGGTGTGGTCATCTTCCTGGCTGGTGATTTCTCACTTTCTGTCTCTCTGTCTCTCCAGTGAGTGCACATGCCCTATAGCAAAAATCTCTCTCTCTCTCTTAAAAAAAAGAGGAAAATAGAAAAAAATCTCAATAACATGTTTATTAAAAAATTATCATTTGAATAGGTAATGAATACAAAAGTTATTAATGAAGGGCCAAGTGGTGGTGCAGGGATTAAAAAGAAGACACTCTGTGAGACAAAATTTCGGACTTGTGTTCAGAGACCTCCCTGAGTGTGCCAGGCATGTGTGTGCCCATGATTCAGGACTGGCTGAGGCTGGAGATAGATTGCAGTGTCAAGATTTTATTGAGGGCGCTTCTCCCAGAAGAAGAAATAAACTTGAAAAAATAGTGATAAGTATTTTACACTTTTTTTTTTTTTTTTTTTTTGGTGTTAAGTCTCCTCTCCATTTCTTAATCCTGTCAAGAGTTTGGGTGTGCATGCACACATGCCCAACATATTACTCAAGCCCCCAGGGTTTGGATTTGAACCTTGGTTGTCCATGTGTTATCTCGTTCCCTTTACTACTAAGCTATGGGACCAGCCTCCTAAAGAGGTTTTTTAAAAAATGTTTGACTCACTAGATTTTTTGCTATGATATATACATGTAAATATCTATATATATTTTCATATTTTTATTCATTCTTTCTGGTAACTTTCCATTTAATTATGAGGACAGAAATCTGACTGGTTTTTCCTATTTCTAAAATCCCTTCCAGAGGGCCTGGGGTAAGTCACTCCCATAGACATTAACCAGCCATTTTAGCCCATTTGATAACAGAAATCTTACTATATCCTGTCCCTGGCATAGAATTCCTATAATGGATGAGTCACACCCACAATCATTAACACCACCATTTTGACTTACCAATAACGGACAGGACTCTTCTAACATCCTGTCCTTGGGACAGTACCTTGTGACTATATGTAAGCCCCCTTATCTCTGTTATTAATTCCTTCCCCAAACCTACAAGCCCCTCTTCCACTGTCCTGCCTATTTGGGCTAGGCAAATGTAGAGCTTTTCACTAAATTCTCTCACTCTCCAAATCAAATCAAAGGAACCCCTGTACCTGATCACCCTGAAGAGAGAGGCATGATTTGCCTCCTCTCCAGCCTACGTCTCGCAATTTCATGCTTAGAAATAAATCACATTAATTATCATTTTTGTAGAGTTGATTATTTCTGTTGACAAAGTGGTGGCCACGAAGGGACCGGAAAGAAACTGAAGTTCTTCTGAGGGGTTGTTTCAAACCTGGTGCCTGGTACTAGCCCAATGGGCCCTTTGAGCCCCCTCTAGCTCCGAGCTTTTCTTTGGGGGAGATTCAGTAAGTTCTCTGGTCCAGGACCTATCCAAATTTGGTAGACGGTCTGGTTAATTTCTAAGCTGGATTGTTGCTTGTTTGTCTGTTCTTTTTTTGTCTGGTTTGGGTCTGTCATTTTTTTGTCTGTTTTGGGTAATCTAGGTTTGCTCCCCTCTGAGTGAGGGGTTGCTATTTGCTCTCCTCCAAGGAAGGGGTAGCAGTTTGCTCCCTCCAAATGGAGGGTAGTGGTTTGTCCCCCTTGAGTGGATAAGTTAGGGAAACCTAACATTTGAGATTGTATTCTAAAGGATCTTCCTCTTTTGCCAAAAAAGTAAATAAATAAATAAATAAATAAAAATAAATTAAAAAAAAGGTGACTTGGGGTTAAAATTTCCCAAGCGGAGAACTTTTGATATTTCTAAGAAAGTATTTTTGCATGCTAAGTTAAAAGACAACAACAAAAACTAGGGTCTCACATTAGGAAAAAGAATGGAAAACCTCCTTTGACTGGTATTTAAAGTAAACAGAAAAAAAAAATGATAAACTTACCTGCCTTCCAAAAATTTATTAAAAAATACTTGACCCGCAGTTAGCGTAATGGCTATGTCGCTGGACTTCCATATAGTCAACCGCAGCTTGAGTCCTGGACCTGGCGGCTTAAACTCACGCCGGGCGCATGTGTGTGCGTGCCCAAGATCCCGAGAGGAGAACGGAGGAGAAGGGATTGCGGCGTGGGCACCCCCCCTTGGGGGTGATTTCTCGCTTTCTATCTCTCTGTCTCTCTCTGTCTTTCTGGCGAGTGCATGCGCCCTATAGCAAAAATCACTGGGGGGGAGGGGGCGGGGAAATACTTGAGACTTTCTCGGAATTAAAAGGGTTAACAGAAGCTGCTTTGAAAACTTTTAAAAAGGCACCAGAATCTATTCCTTCCTCTGCTCCTCCCTATCCTTTACTCCCCTGTCCCTTCAAGTCTATCTTTCCTCATACTCCTTTTGCCTTTCCCCTAATTAAAAAATATTTAGGAGATATTATGGAGGGAAATAAAATTATGGTTGTTCCTTTTAAGGAGAAATCCCCTGGACACTCTCAGGAGAGCCAAATGTAAAGTATTTACCATGGACAAAGGCTGAACTAAAAGCCTTAATATTGAGATTTCCTGACCCGCCTAAAGACCCTATTGGGCTTACACAAGAGTTTGAAATAACCCTTAAAACCTATGACCCAGGATTTTCAGATCTGTATCAGCTAACCCAGCTTCTAGCTCAGGAAATAAGGCCAAAAAATGGTTTAAGTGAACAGATTGGAAAAACCCCTTAGATGATTTTAATAGAATCAATACAAAAGTGAGAAACAAATGCAGAGAACTTTTAGACCGCCTCTGCACTGTTCTGCCTCAAGTTTTTCCTAAAGTTATAAATTGGACAAAAATACAACAATGCAAGATCCACCCAAATGAGTCAAAACCTGCCTTTTTTTCTAGATTTGAAAAACTGTTCAAACACTATTCAGAAATTACCCCCTAAAAACTTCAAAAACAGTAGAAGTTAATACTTTGTTAATACTGGTTTCACGCTCGGTTTAGATGAGAAACTAATGACCTTGGTCAAAAGGTACAATGTGGCTTGGGCATCCCTACCCACGAGCCAACTCATTACATTAGTTGACCAATTATTTCAGACAATGCATAAAATAAAAAAGGATATGACTTACAAAATTATAAGCCTACAATTGAAACAGCTAAGTAGACAAGTCAGGGAACCACTAAATCACCAACCTCCCAAAAATTCACAACAAACACAAAAAGAGAAAATTTTCTATTACTGTGGGAGACATGACATATTAACCAACACTGTAAGAAACACAAACAAGCTCTTACACAGGGAACTTACAATTTTTGGGAGCTTCTAATCTGAGCCTGCATTTTAAATGTGGCATTCCATCCTGCGAATCATGTAGTCACACCACCAGACAGGGCCGAGGTACCACCAAGACCTTACTTTACATAAATTGTAAAACTCTCTTATGGGAACGGAAATAATGGGCATACTTTCTAAAACTTAAAAACACATCCTGTGGTGACTTTGCAGCCCTGTCCCCATAGCAATTTAGCAACTCTTAGTGACCTTGTAGCCCTGATAACAGCCTAACAACTCTGCTTGTTGCCGCAGACACTGAGTTAACCCTTTTTCATCCCTAGGGTGCTCAGGGCTTTTCATTTATGACTAGTTGCTTTGTTTGATCCCTTCTAAAAGGTTTTTTTCAAATATTTAAAATCTTAAACTGTTATCACTAACATTGTTTTGTTCTGTATTGAAAAATTTGTTTAACAATATATATTTTTTTTGAGAGGTTTTTGCTATAGGGTGCGTGCGCTCGCCAGACCGACAGAGCGACAGAAAGGCAGAAAGCGAGAAATCATCCCCCCAGGGGGGATGGCCCCTCGGCAATCCCTTCTCCTCCATTCTCCTCTCAGGATCTTGGGCTCGCACGCACATGTGCCTGGCATGAGTTTAAGCCACTGGGTCCGGGACTCAAACCACAGTCGACTACATGGGAGTCCAACGACATAGCCATTATGCTAACTGCTGGTCCCTGTTTAACAGTTTTTATTTGTAAAATACATATCCATAAACTGCTGGTATGTACCAAAAGCTATTGCTATGAGTCAAAAATTCTGATAAATGTCAAGTCCTACATATGAAGTTACAAGCTAAATGGTGTCAGATTTCCCAGGCAAAAGAACAAGAGATAGGCTTTGACAAGCCTGAGGTAATCCTTAAAACAACAAACAAAATGTGTTCCTTATCTAATTAAGTCAAAGGTAACAATTTTCTAAACACAAATTTATTTTTAAAAAAAGAGAGAAAAACAAGATAGAAAGAAAACAGTAAATAAAAAAGATGTGGAAAGAAAGATATAGGTATTCAGGTGTATTTGTTGCAAAAAAAAATAAGGTTAAAATAAAAAGAACATTTTAATATAGAAGGACTTTTGTATGGTAAAAAAATTTTGTCCTCAAGTAAGATGGCTGGATTATTCCAAAATAAAAAAAGTAAAAGGGGACACATAATCAAGGTATAAGCATGTCACAGACGGTTTGAGTTATGTTAAAGAAGGCCTGAGAGGAGATTGTAAAGAATTAAGGTTTTATAAAAGGATTTATGTATGACAGATGGTATTGAAAGGTTTTTACCGGAGTGTTATGGAAATGGCGACCCCAATCAACCACAATAGTCAGTTCTTGATGTAAAATACAAGAGGCTTTATTGCTAGCGCGCTAGGACTCCACTCCCAGTCATACAAGACATGGCTAAGAGTGAAGTCCCGAACATAGGAGTATTCAGGTTATATAGACATGTGTCCGTGGGATGAGGGGAGGAAGCAAGATAAGGGATTACAAGGTAATCTTATGACGACCATTTGGTCAGGCTTGCAGGAACATTTGATCTGGGTTTCTGGGGCTAGCAGAAGGGAGGGATTTTACACTACAAAGGTCTGGGCTAGCTTGCCAGACTAGTTTGCAAATGGCTCTGGGCTCCCAGCAAGGTGTTAACAAATTACCCCAGGTTTCCACAACTTCAGCAGCATCTGCTTTAGTACAGAAACAAAAGAGGCAAAGGTTAGACTTTACCTTTGTAAGACAGGCTAATCTAATTTTATTCTTACAGTATCTAAGGTGGCCATGAAGTGATGGCCCACACTACTTGGCACAGAAGCACAGTCTTAATATGATGATGAGAGACCAAATTTGCTAGACTCTAAACTAGTACTATTAATAAACAAGGTAAACATATTATAAATCTGATTAAAAATATAATAATACATATAAAGGTTTCTTTGGTTGGTTAGGCTGTTTCATGCTCTCTAACTCTGTTTACAATATAATCTTTGTGCATTTTTATTGTATATCACCTGAAAATACTATGCCAGATACAGGAAGAGGAAGAACAAAAATTCATTTTTTCCCCTTGCCGAAAAGTAATTGGCTGTAAAGTGAGGTCAGTCAGACAAGTCCTTTCCTTAAGACTCTACTGCCTATAAAAATGGATTGCTATTCCTAGCGCTGTGGGACCTGACTCCTAGGAATGAGCCTTCCTAGCACCACGGAACTTGTCAATTTTGTGGCCTAAACATGCATTCAGAGGAATGATTTTTGTCCAACACGGGGACTGACTGCTTTTCCTATTTCTAAAATCCCTTCCAGAGGGCCTGGGGTGAGCCAAAGACATTAATAGGCCATTTTGGCCCATTTGATAACAGAAATCTTCCTACATTCTGTCCCTGGCATAGTATCCCTGTAATGGGTGAGTCATATCCACAATCATTAACACCATTTTGACTCATTGATAACAGGACTCTTCCAAAATCCTGTCCTTGGGATAGTATCTTGTGACTGTTTGCAAGCCCCCTTATCTCTATTACTAATTCCTTCCCCAAACCTACAAGCTCTTCTTCCACTGTCCCACCTATTTGGCTAGGCCAATGGAAAGCTCTTCATTAAATTCTTTTACTCTCAAGTTCGAGTCCTGGACCTGGTGGCTTGCTTTCTCACTTTTCCTCTTTCTGTGTGTCTGTCTTTCTCTGGTCAAATAAAAATAAATGAATGAATAAATAAAATTAAATAAATAATTCTTTTAAAAAATCAAATAAAAGAAACCAATGATCAACCTGGGAGATAGAGATAGAGATAGAGAGAGAGGGGTGTGTTTTACCTCCTCTCCAGCCTAGGTCTCACAATTTCATGCTTAGAAATAAATCACATTAATTATTATTTTTGCAGAGTTGGTTATTTCCATCGATAATTATATGCTATTGTTTTCCATATCAATAAACTATGTTAACAAATATACAATTCTGTCATCAATTTCATAGTTGTTTTATATTCCATTGCAGAGTATTTTGAGGATTAAATGAGATAAAATATATGAACATAACTGGCATGCCAGAATATAGTAACTGACATATAGTAATTAAAATAAAGCTTCAGGGGCCATCAGGTGGCATAGTGGTTAAGGCGCTAGACTTCCACATAGCTGACCATGGTTCAAGTCCTGTACCTGATGGCTTGAAATTCATGCCAGGCACATGTACACACATCCCCCAAATCCCAGGAGGAGAATGAAGAAGGGATTGCAGTGTGGCTGTCCCCCAAGGAGGTGATTGTTTTACTTTCCCTCTTGCTATCTGTCTTTCTTTGTCTCCAGCAAGTGCATATGCCCTATGGCAAAAACCTTAAAATAAATAAATAAATAAATAATAAAGCAGGCGAGCAAGTGGTATAGTGGCTAAGGTGCTGAACTCCCACGTGGCTAACAATGGTTCGAGTCCTGGACCCAATGGCTTGAACTCATGCCATTTCCTGGAGAAAATGACATTGTGGTTTGGCCATCCCCCCTGGGCTATGGTGATTTCTTACTTTCTTTTTCTCAGATTCTCTCTGCTTCTCTGGTGAGTGCATGTGCAAAAGTCTCTCTCTAAAAATAAATAAAGCTTCAGAAAATATGTGATACTAAAATTTTGGTTTCACATAGCCAGCCTGCTTGTGGACATTTCCACACCTATCTTTACTAGCCAGCTATTATCATACCGACAGTCTCTTGCTGCCTTAAAGCAAGATCTCTATGGAGAATTTCTTCATGCATTAGGACCAGAAATCCTGTGTTTCAGATATGACAATAGACACCAGAAAGAAGATTGCTCAGGGACCTAGACAGAAGGTACAAGCCACAAAGAGTTTCTCTCATAGCAGATAATTTTTTTTGCTCTTTAGAGAAAGACCAGGAGACTCTAGAAAAAAGAAAATCTTTTAAAAGATGGCTTCTCAAAGCAAAAAGTTAACTTTTATCTCTGTAATGTTCTTTTTTAAACTTTTTAAAAATTATTTTAACTTTATTTATTATTATTATCATTAGTCTTTCTCAGTCTGATCAGAGAGCGACAGAGAGGGAGGAAGTGCGAAAGCAAGTCACCAGGTCTGAGACTTGAACCATGGTCTGCCATGTGGGAGTCCAGCACCCTTAACCACCATGCACTTGCTGGCCCCATCTGTAATGTTCTTAATTTCTAGCACCCTGGAGGTGCTTGTTCCTTTCCTTATGAAATGAAATTCAGCTAATGACCTCCCACTTCAGTGAGATTATCAGAACATTCCAGATTTCTCTTTGAATACACGAATTCCTCCTACTATATTTCTAATCCTAAAATAATCTCTTTAACACTCACAAGAATTATTCTTGTAAGTGATCATGGTTGCAATTCAAAATAGTGTTTGCTAGGCTAGTTCATAGTCCCCCTCTGAACATCATCTTACAGAAGTAGTCTCAGCTGGTCAGGGCTACAGACAGACATATCCTAGGGGCTCAGCTTGTATGACAGCCCTGGTCACGTGGGGCCAGGTCTGGTATAGGAAGCTTGAAGTCTATTGTTAATCATCTTTCCTTTATATCATCTCCTGGGAAGCTATAGGTACTGTGAAAACTGAGCCTTGAGAAGGATAGCTGTTCTGGGTTAATGGCTTCTCCAACCATGCCTATTGATACCACAATTCCTCAACAGAGATAACTGCAGATATAGAGATCATCAGACATGTAGTCAACTAATATTTGCTTTTTTGCTAAGAAGTATGCTAGCATTATTGAGAAGTAAGCCTGACAGAAGTGGTTTAGCTATCATAGAGCTTCTAGTTTAGTGGTAAAAACAGTAGATAAGAGGCAAATAGTGACAACCATGTTTAGTTCTATAAAGGGGAAATTGACCTAGACAAGGGAGTCAGGGGATTTCCTTGAGGAAGTGACATTTGAGCTGACTTGAAATTAGGTGGTAATGAGATGGGGAGCTAGTCTTCAAAAAGTTCATGGAAAATGCATATTTTGCAAAAGCCATACCCCAATTTTTTTTTTTTTTTTTTTTTTTTTTTAATTTGCAACAGGGCCATCAGGTGACATAGTGGTTAGAGTGCTGGATTCCCACATGGCTAATCAGGGGTTCAAGTCAAGTCCTGCACCGGTGGCTTGCTTTCTCACTTTCCCTCTCTCTCTCTTGCTTTGTCTCTCTCTGGTGAGCACACAAGTGCTGTAGCAAA